AATTAAAACAAAACACACTTCCCACCCTTTCTTTGCTCCTTTTTTATTTTTACCCTTAAATGGTTCAATTTTTGCTTGTATGGTTCTACGTGTCAGTCGCGTTGATCTATGAATTCTCTGTATTGACAAACTTTGATTGAGAAGTGAGATAGTTGTGAATAACATCTTTGATCATCTCTTCGACACCCGTCCCAGTCTTTGCGGAGATCTTGTACGCATAACAGTCTGGTTCTGTGATCTCTTTCATCACGTTCTCTTTGTTAACTTCTCTCTTTCCCGTGTCGCTGTAATTCCCGACTAAACACATCACCGACGCATCGTTCAGTCGACTAAAGTATTTGAATACATTCAACGCCCCTTGGAATGACTCTTCACTCTCAATATTATACACATGTAACAAAATGTCTCCACGTGCTCCAGGGTCTGTTGATGCTTGTTTCATGAACGCCTCGTCATTTCTCTCAATAAGACTCGTCTGTATTTGGTACCCATCGACAGTGATAGAAAGAGGTTGCTAGATGTCATTTTGTGTCCACTTGTGGATTTCATAATGAAACAAACAAATTCAGTGTAACTTGGCTGCTTTTGTTCTATAAATGTTTTGTCGACAATCCGCTTGATTAGAGACGTTTTACCCGAGTCTATAGGACCACAGACAGTGATGCTTATGTTCAGTGTCATTTTAATTTAGTATTTTAAGTTCAAGGAAACCAAAAAGAAGAACGATCTGAGTGAATATTGAAAGTAGAAATCCTATTATTTTGGGAAAAAAATTAGATACATGTAGTGTAAATTGAATAGTTTATTAGTAATTATTCAATAGTTTCATGTTTTTGGTTTTTTTATTCAAAAAGTCTCATTCGATTATTTAAATATTTTTATAAAAATTTCAACATCTTTTTAAATGTTTTAAAAAAAACTTTAGTTCTTATTTAGTAAAATTGCTGTTAAATTTTGAGATACATTTTTCAAATAAAAATATTATTTATTTATAAAAAAATTTAATATAAATTATTGAATAATTGTTTACAATTCAAAATTGACAAAATAGAAATTGCTTTTTCTTATTTTTATAATTTATTTGATTGCTTCTTTATAATAAATATATAATATAAATATATAACTTTTTAAAATAATAAAAAATATAGATACTTTTTTAATTATTAATTTAATAATTAAATAAACTATATAATAATAATTTAATATAAAGAGAAAGGACGGACATGGGGACGAAGGACGGGAATATAGGCCGAAAGACATCCTTTGTGGTTTAGGGACGTCCTCCCGCTATAAAGGACGTCCTCCTGTGTATATGGTGTCCTTTCTATTATTTTC